CGTAACAGTAAACGGTGCAACCAAATCCTGTACCTCAAAGGTGTAGTCGTTGATGGCGTGGACGATGCGTTTCGGTCCACGCCAGATCAGCGAAAGTTTGTTGCCGCTGGTTCCAGTCGTCGTTGCTGCCAACACGTAGTCACCGACGCTGAAACGTTGGAGTTTCACTCCTTTCTTCTTAGCATGACGCTCCCGCGCCGCACGCCGCCGCTTCTCGCTGGCGCTCGTCAGCTCGTGGTGAATCCCGTCGAGTGAAGCTCGGACACCTTCGATGTGCTTCTTGAGCTCAGCGTCGACCCATTCTAGGCTCGCTTCAATAGCTTCACGAGGGTGGAGGATACCGCTGAGCTGGGAGCCCCCAGGTAGCGCTGTGAACGCCGTGAGTGGGCAGACACCGCCTAGACGGTCCGCCGGCATCCCATTTAAGGCCGCCTGCACCACCGGAAGCAGACTTGGCCAATCGGTTACCAGGCGCTTCCTTTCACTTGCTAACGCCTTCACGCAGCGGAGGACCTCTCGGTTTACCACCTCCACGGTGCCATTGGCCCAGGGGGTGTACGCCGTCGTGAAGTGATGCTGAGCGCCCAGAGCACGCTGGAGCCGCTCCATCACTTGGTTCTTGAAATGGGGTCCCTGATCGGAAATCCACTGCGAGACAACGCCGAACCGCTTGAACCAATCCATTAAACCTACGTAGACTTGGTCACTCGTGGCTGCGACGCATGCCACGAGTTCCACGAACCCAGACATGCCGTCCTTCAGTACTAATACATACTTGACTCCGCCGACCGCCTCAACCATGGATAGAAAATCGAAATGGAGCAACTCGTTCGGCTTTGTTGCACGTAGGGTCTCACCATACGGACGAGGGATCTTTCCAGTGACTGTGGTCATGCAATGCAAACAACCATTAACAAAGGACGCCACATCTTTTGCTCTCGTCGTCCAAACGAAGAGATCCGACAACGACTTAGCTGTGGTGGTCGCGCCACGATGACCGCTTGCGCCTGCGTGTGTCACTACACACAGACGCTGTTGCAACTCAACAGCATCATCAGGGATCCACAGACGACCGTCTGGGTCGACGACAACTTGGCGTTCCTCATTGAACGTCAGATTCGCTGGCAACCCGCCCGCCGAGCACGCTGCATCTTGAACGCGTTTAATTTCGGCCTCGGTCGGCCACACGAACTCAGGTGCTTCCAACGGAGAAACGCGGTCAACGACCGCTAGTCGCGACACTCGCATTGCGCCTCGGGCGTCCCTGGATGAAGGTCCCGCGCCCCATCGACTGAGAAGGTCGCCCCAGGCATTCACCTCGCCCGGGACATGCTCGATTACGTACTTGAATGACATTAGGGACAGAGCCCATCGCTGGAGTTTGTCCGCTTGATACCGCGCCATTGCTCCATCCGTACCCAAAGGGTTGAAGATATATACCAAATTACGATGGTCGGTATAGAGATGAAATCCTCCTGGTCTCATCAGCAAATACTCTAGGCGCCGGGTTGCCTCAACAATCGCGAACGCTTCCTTCTCAATTGTCGGCCAGCGACTAGCTGCGCCTACGCATCGGCCGCTCAGGAACGCGAGGGGACGGTGATTCTGTTCTGCAAGCGGTAGCTGGAGCTCCTCCGGCTCCAGCTGGGTAGCCAACGCCCTCCAGTAATCGTGACTCGCGTCCGTGTAGATACACACCTCGGCCTTCGCGCGCGGGTGAGCCAACGGCACCATCTTGAGCAGCGCCTGCCGGACCGATGTGAGGGCAGCTACATCTTCGTCACACCACCCGACGTCGGCCAACAGGAGCTTCGACAACTTCGCCTTCTTGCGGGAACCAGCCGCAGCCATAGCGCGCTCCAGGACCGCTGACAGCCGCGCCGTCAGGCGGTTATATTCGGGAATGCCCTGACGCATCCAATTCACCGCACATAAGAACTGCTGCAGGTCGCCAGCCGTCATTGGTGCTTGCATGTCGACCAGTCCCTGTACCCGTTCTGGGCAGTGGCGCACGCCAACTGCCGAAAACAGCTTCCCGCACCACTTGGCTTCCTTCGTGAAGAACCGGCACTTCTTCGCATGCAGTTTCAATCCGAAGTGTTCACACCGCCCTAATACCTTATCCAACAGCACGAGCAAGTCGTCCTCGGTCTTGGCGTAGCCTAAGCTGTCATCGAGCCAGGCGAGTATTCCCTTACCGAGGAGATCGCCGAATATCTCTTCGACGACCCACTGGCAATACGCCACTGCATCTGTTGCCCCCATGGGCACGCGTCTGGGTGTATACACGCCGCGGTGTGTTACAAAGTAGTACAGTTCCTGTGAGTCCTCGTGCCGCGGGAGCTGCCAGTATCCACGAAACCAGTCAAGCAAGAAGAAGAACCCGTATCCTTTCAGCTCGCCCACAACCACCTCCAAGACCGGCATTGGCCAGGGCATCGGCTCCGTTTGGTCGTTCACCGCCCGAGTATCAACGGTCATTCTTGGATCAGCATTTGGGTCGATGTCCTGTTCCTTTTTACGCACGATTCTCGGCGCCGAGCACCACACGGATCGATGGTTCATGTAGATAACGCCAGCTTCCTCCAGCGTGGACGTGTGACGGTCGAGGAACAGCCGATCATTCGGCGAATATCGACGAGGTTGGCACTTAACCGGCTTAGCATTGGGCTTCAAGCGCACTTGCAATGGCGCGACCTTCACGGGAGGATCGTAGCCGAACGCCAGTCGAAAGTTGTCTGCGCGCACGGCCAAGATTGCCCTAAGATTTATCTGTCCCGGTGCTGATAAGCCAGCCGTGGCCGCAAGTCGCTGCGACTCTTCGAGTTGGTCAATGACGGCCTGTAACGCCGACAGCTTCATATCCGGCAACGCCGTTCGCGACTCGTACCGGTCGACATCATCGTCAGCCTGCGTCTCAACCACGGGATCCCGCGCGGCCAACTGCACTCGGCTCATACGCTGCAGCGCCGATGGCTCCATGTCAGCTCTCGTCTCCATTTTTGAGACAATCCCCTCGATTTCCCACTCAGGCTGCACGTTCCTCGCGTTAGCCAATAGAGTATCCGTCGAGTAGCCGAGCGTCTGCATAACCGGCCGACTGACCGTCAACTCGAGCTCTTGGTTCCCTTCTTCAATCCAACAAAGTAAATTCCTAAGCATGAGCGGCCCGGCCGTGGTGCTGAGCAACACCTCAGCAAACTTGACAGCTCGTGACACGGTAACACGACGGCCACCGACGGGCAATAGGTCGCGGGCTTGGATGGATTCAATCTGAGGCGAGGCTCCTCGAAGACCAAGCGCGTTGATTACTCCACTGGTTACCAGCGACACGTCCGCCCCGCTGTCGAGAAGAACTGCTTCGATTCTCAGGCCATCGACCTGAGCCTCGACAGTACCTGTGTCTTCACTCTCACTACGCTTTGTCCGGACAGGCGTTTCCTTGATGCGGCGCATCTTGGCGCCTTCAGTCGAAGAGAACAGCTTTCGCAACAGCTCAGAGGCCTCCTCGGGCGACGCCTTCGGAAAGTCCCGAACTTGATGAGCGTCGCTTCCGCATTTGAGACACGCACCGGCTCCTCGCCGTTGCGGCCTCCCACCTCCGGCAGACGTTGATTCTCTTCCTGTTGGGGGTGTCTGGCCACCAACGCTACCAGCGACACCATTAGCAGCGGCAGCACCGCTCCCTTGGCTGCCGTGACGTCCATTTCCACCACGATCACTGGCGTTGTGGCCCCAGCCACCGCCTCGACCACTGGACCGTCCACCATTTGGTCCTCCGGATGTGCCGCCACTGTGTCCACCAGAACTTTGCATTGCGTGTTCCCACGTCATGAGCTCCTTCATGAGCTGCGTCACCCACTGGCAGAAGGGCACGACCTCCGAGCGCAACGTCTTGTGCTCGTGGAGACTGAGCTTTGTCGTGATCACCGCCTTGAATCCTTGGGGCTGCAGTGCGGCCACCCCGGCGCTGCTCGTTGGCGAACGCCACGTCGGTTAAATTGAAGCGCTCAAGGATCGTGGTCATGTCGGCCTGGAGGCGCATCATGCGGCTCTCCGGCTCGGGCATCGACGTGTTCATCTTCAGCTTAGTCATGGCCGCGTCCACCGTGGCATAGTCGACGATCGAGGCCACATTCGCTTGTTTGAAGTATTGGATCCACTCGTCTTCCGTGATCTGCTCGGGGGCCTTCCTGAAGGTCCAACGAGCGATTAGCCGCTTCGTGCCGCTCTCAATACACGCACCCACTGGCATTGCAAACGCGCCAGTCCATTGGGTCTGCAGGGCATTAACTGCTGCGAGATACGTTTCGTATGCCTTCATGAAGTCCCTCCGGTCTTGCATGGTTACACCCTTGTATCTGGGAGGCTGGGGAAGCGCTGGCGCTGCCGCAACGCGCCCTTGGCTTGACCGCGGGCTTACCGTCGGCATGCCTTCATCATCCGCCTCGTCCGGGCCCGTCGCTTCCGTGAACGGGTTCGGGATTTGTAATTGGAGACCCGGGGACCGCGCCGACCCGACGCTCTGCAACTGCATTCTTCTGGTCTTCTCTTCGAGTTCGTCCATTACGTCTTCTTTCTTACTTGCCATCTCGCGTCACACAACGCGGAGCTTGAGCTCGAACTGAGCAAGAAAGGTAACTAAAGTTAACTTTGATTTTTCCTCACCGGATCGAATGCCGTCTGAACAACAGAAAGCAAAAATCAAACTGAATTCACAAACCTTTAGCTACTGCTGGGCCTCACACAACGCCTGGGGCCCGTTCCCGCTACGAGGGACTTCTCTACTTCAAGTGACGACAACGTCGCCGCCTATACACGGCAGGCGTCCGACCAGGACTCCGGAAGTGTCCAGAACAACCAGCACCTAGAGTATACAGAGCACCTGGAGTATACAGTGTACATGCACTAGCACTGTATACAGCCAGATCAGGGGGGGGGTGAAGTGTGCCCCAAACCGAGGCCCTTGTCTAAAAGGCAAGCTAAGAGTCCCACCAGACATGATCACTAAGCTCAAGAAGCAGCAAAAGAAGGCTCTGAGCTCAAAAGGCAGCTCGCATTTCACGTCCAGCGCTGACCCAGCGATAACGATAGAGGGGATGCCGATATTTCTGCGATATCAGCGTGCGTACAGACTGATGAGCTGCCGCCAACATGTAGTAACCAGGTGGTCGCTTTTCAGAGTCCGAATCTGCTAGCGTTCAGCACGTGTTGAACGTAGCGACAGCAATACTTAAATCTCCTCCGCCTGCATTTAAAACGAATCACCTGCAAATCGTCATAGCCGAGGACGACCTGGACCTCTTTAGATCACTTGCAAGATCTATTGGAAGAATATTCGGCAAATGGGAGTACCTGCATGTCCGATTCCTCGAGAAGTATCCAAACTCGAAGCTTGGCGCAAATGCTCTGCGCTGTCACTTGAAAGAACAGTCTCAAAGGAGGACAGCCTGTGTGGAGAAGCAGGTGCAGCAACCTCCTTCCGTCGCCCAAAAGCGAATTCGTGCTACTTCCTGCTCCAGTTGCGAAAAAAGTGTGGCGATGGCGGCACTAATCCTTCATGTGTGAGAGCAGGAAGACCTTATAGTGCAACCATCGACTCATTTCTCAGCAGTTCGTAAGCTTAATCCAATGTCTTGTGTTAGTTTTACAGGGTATCTCGATGATCTGTACCGCTATGTCTCTCCTATCGGTACCGTGAACGGAATGGAGGGTGTAGATTATGTTTTGGGAGAGCGGTCACTACTGGAGGTCTACATGATTACGATTAGTGGACACAGCGATACGGATGGGTATGACCTGACGGGGTGGTGCGACAGCAGTGGCGAAGCTGTTGGTGATCGAAATAAGATGCGGCTACATGTTCTTTCTCTTTCCGAAAGTTTGGAGAGTGGTGCACACGTGTGCGACAGCACAATCAATATCGATGTTAGTGAACTGACTACAAGTTCGCAGACAAGATGTGGCAACATCCTACCGGATTGGTTAGCGGATACGCTAAATCAGCTCGCGACGCCCGACAATAGATTATCTGGAGACCTGGCTGCAGCAAGTGACCACACAAAACGTGCAGAGTGCAAGCACGAGTGTAGCACGGAGCGCACCTGTACGTGATCCAAGAAGCTTATGCACCACTTCTGCTCGCATGAGGTGTGCGTATCGTTAAAAATCCCTGCCCCGTGCTGTGGATTTCTTGCAAATTTCAGTGATAGTAGCTATTGTAGCAAAACGTGCTACTCTAGCGCTACTGGATTGAACTTAGACTCAAGGATGGGTTGTGAGCTAAGACAGACTCAGACGACCAATAACCGGGGAGATGGCGTCTTTCCACGGCGACGTCTCAGGCACTACGGCAGCAACCCTACGACACTGCGAGTCGGCGAGCAGAAGAACACAGCTCCCCCCTCAGGCGCGTTCTTATTTAGCGCGTGCAGGCTCCTGCAGATCCTGTTCGGTGTACGATTGGTCAAAAAGAAGGCGGTATCTGACGACAACCAGACAACGACCTGTAGGTCCGTGTCTCAGCGCAGTACAGGTTGTCGCGCAGGCGCGGGATGACCTCGAGAGCAACAGCATCTCTGACTGCCATCCAAGGGCTAGTGCACAGCAATAGCAGAGAGCTGGCCCCGCTGTTTAGCAGCTTCTCGCCACATGTCTTGAGGAGCACCCCCCCACCACCTGTTCATCGCCGATGCGGGTGTGTTTGAAGAAGCTCTCGCTGCCATTCACCTGCAGCCACCATTCGCTAGGAGCTCGACACCTGCAGTGTCATTCTCGTTTTTGGATCGTGTTCATCATGAGCGAGTCAAGCATCGTTGCTTTGCTGAACTCGTTCCCATCGGACGGCAGCGAAGACGCGCTGCGGGGCGCGTTAGCAGGCTACCTGGCCAGGGATCTTCGGACAGCATGCTCCAGCCTCCGAATCCAGCCGCAAGGGAAAGCTCGCTCAAATCAAAACAACAAAGCCGGCTATATTACGCTGCTGTGTGAATACTGGCAGGCTCGTCAAGATGGCGTCGCTGTCACGGCTTCCGACCCGCCAAAGCCGGACGTACCGTCAGCTTCCACCCGTCGGACGAAGCACTGCTTTTTCCGTTTGGCGAACGTGATTTTCAGTGAAAGCTTTGCCGTGCGGCCCCACGAAATGGATGCCAGTCCGTCACGTTATGCGCTAGATGTCGGTGCAGTCAATGCTTACAACAACTTCTGGCAGGACGTCGAAGCTGCTTTTGCTTCGAAGAACCCGGAGTTTGACTCTCTGGTTGTGAATCGCGTGGAGTACGCAGGGATTAATCCCAGCCTTGCGCCTCAACACTATGCAGTGAAACTTCGTGAGATGTGGCGGATGGCTACGGGCAACTACACTACAAGTCTGGCAAATTCGCGTCAATCGGGGACACACACCAGCGACTTTTTCGACTTCTGCGCGGGAAAACTTGAGGCGCTGTACTTGCATGACTGGCTGCGCCGCCGACCGTCCATGCTTTCAACGGTTGAGCGGAAGCTACCGAAACGAGCTCGCCTGGATACCCTCGAGAGCAGCGGCGAGATCGATAGCACTGCGGCTGCTGGCAATGACCAAAATGTGTCTACACCGGCTAAGAAGAGACTCAAAGTGCTAGATCGTATTGCAGACCTACTGGAAAGCCAGAAGCATGCTGAGCAAGAGTCCAACCTGTCGTCTTCGCTGCAAAAGGCTCGGGTGGTGAAGGAATGGGCTTCTGCCATTGAGATTTTGACGCGTACTGGCGACGCATCGGACACTGTGCATTCCATTCGTGCCGCAATCGACAAGGTCATGAAGTCGGCCGCCGCCGAGCTTGCTGAAGAGCATCAAGATGCGGAAGGCGACGAGGCTTTGCTTGGAGATAGCCCCGTCGAGATGTAGGACACGGTAACTGAACGATGAACACAAACTCGAATGAACACGAACACAACTCTACTGTTTATTTCTTGGCATATGAGGTCGAAGTTGCGACTGTGTCTTCAGCTTCTCGACGATTCCTTTGCGAACAAAACTTGTTGTTGCGCCTGCGTCAGCCAAGTCGCTTGCATCGTATGCAAGAATATCAGTCAGCGAAAACGATCCTACCAGTTCTCCGAGAGAAGAGATTTCGTGGCCAACAGGGTTCACTGTAGTCTTCAATCTCGCGTTCACCACGAAGTTGTGCAAGACAGCTGCACAGTGAATCAAAAGCGTGGCATTCTCCAGTTTCACAGACAGCGGTGACTTGAATAGCCGCCACTTGTTCACTAACAGGCCGAAAGCCATTTCCACCCGGATACGGACTTGAGAAACGTGAAAATTAAACGAGTCGCGGTAGATATTGTCCCCAATCTGAGGTCGCGTGTACGGCATTAGAAGATGATTGGTAGCCATGTACGCGTTCTCTGCTACGACGTAGAGGCCTCGCTCTAGTACTTCAACGAGCCAGGGAATCCGTGATTCACGGTACGCCTTCACATCGTTAGAGCCGTTAGGATTACTGGCATTGATATACGTAAAGCGACAGTAGTGATCACACACGGCCTGAGCATTGATACCCATGGTACCATAGTGACCACTAAAATACGCACGAGCACCTGCTCCGGGGTCTTCGCCTTCAGCCACTTGGTCAACCTTTCTCGTCGGAGGAGTGACAATGCTGCACAGCCAGCCGTCCATTGCACCAATGCACCCACTAATAATTCCTCCCGAGCTTACAACCTTGAGCCCACGAGCAATAGATTCTCGCTCGGTAGACGACATGGGAAAACGGATGCTCAATTCCGTCAAGGCAACAATAGCTCTTGAAGTGTCGTAGAGTACGCGATAGAACGATGGCAAGCTCACTCCTCCAATACGTCGAATGTCAATCACAGCGCCTCCAGCCATGTAGCGAAGAAGCATTTGCAGTCGATTTGTCACCGTAATTGCTCCTCGGTACTTCCATGTACGCGGATTTAGACACAGTTCTAGCGAGACCATTCTACACAGCTTGTCGAATGCTCCAGGACTCATGCGAAAGCACCTAGAAAACTGCCCTTCTCGTAAAAGCCGCTCCTTCTCGAGAGTCCACAGCAGTCGACTACGTACGAGCTGCTCCTGTCGGCTGCCGTCCTCGTCAACGATTGCCACCGCTAGTAGTGCCAGCAGAGAGGAGTCTTGCTGAGGACCGATGAAAACCATCGGCGCTTTTTGGTTTAGACGTGACTGGTCAAGGAGGGTGGAGATGTCGCCCACCCTCGCTTTGCAGCTACCCTGCAGTTTTGCCCAGCCGCTCACTTGTCTAGGGGTTGGGTGGCCCTGTGGCCCTGTACTGCAGTTTTTTAAATAAGAACGCGGCTCAATCCGAGCTGAAAAGCAAGTGGCTGCGCGAACACAGAAAGGAAAGCCACCTCGTCTCAAGCGCAATACAAAGAAGGGAGAGGCTGCAGGAATGAAAGAAGAGTTGACCCGCAGAGCCCGTGCAGCCGCTGAAAAACTTGTTGGAGCTAGTGTGGCGCTTTCCCCGGCTAACGAAGCGTAGATGCTGCATCATTTGTCTCCGGGTGTTGGATCGACGTTCCTGACCGGTGTTGTGACCCGATACAAAATAGCATTTGAAGCGAATCCTGACAATATCGCCGTGCCTTTAGCCAACTTTAAGATACAATGGACTTGTACAAGCTTTTAAAGTAAGGACCATGTTCATAGTGTTTCAAAAGATGTCCTACTTCGTGGCGTCCGGTAGTTTGCAAAAACACGCCGCGGAGAATAACACTTCGCAGCGTCTTGGACGGACATGTTCAACATGATTCCAACCCTTCAAATATCCCGCACTTACCGACGAATTTGAGGAAATGAACGAGGAGAACTACCGTGAGTGGTCCACCTTTCGTGGTCGAAAAGAGCTGCAAATTGCGTTGAGTCCTTCCGAGGTTGAGCAGATCGAATCGATGTAATTTTCGCCTACAGTTCTGTCGTACATGACGTTGGTTTTGGGCTGACAAAGGTGAGATGAGAAACTATTGGGTTGATGATCAAGATGCAACGAAATTCCCTGGAGCTCGTGCGACTGGCTTGGAATCGATTATGACTTGGCATATATTTATCTACATCCGCCAACATTAGAGTTTTCGTTCGGACGTATGCGCCACCGACTTGCAGCAAGATCCAGCTGCAAGAATACGACCTCTTAGCAACAGTATCAAATCGCGATGTTTGCGTCATGTTGACTTTGGTCGAAATGTAATAGTTGCTGAGGCCAGCATAGCGTGTCGGTCACGGTATGCGCGCCATATCAAATCATATTGTGGCGGCCAGTTGGGTCGATGGCTCAATCGCTAATGTCGTTCCCAATGCCGACGCGTCCACGTCATGTACTGTCTACCGTCGCATCAGAAACGACCAAGTCGCGTTTACTGGTCCTACTTGTGTTGGCGAATACAATTCTGCTATGCAAGGCGTCGACAGTCATGATTAACTGCGTGGGCGCTATTCACTAGCCCTCGGCGTTTTAAAAATGGCAAAAAAAACTTGCCATGGCCATGATATACGTAGCCAGATGCAATGCTTATGTTTTTGATGACCTCGCCCGTGATAATGGTGATTCACGCGACCTGGCCCACCGAGGTCCATACCCCCGTAATAGCTACCGAGCATAAGTTGTCTCGCTCATACGAGAGCTATTTAGTGACGATTGGAAGGCTAGCTTGGCTAGTGAATGTGGTAAGGTATACACTGCCAACCCAGCAGCAGCACCAAGGTCAACACAGTCATCGAATACTACTGGGGTCGTAACGCCTGTGGGCATACCACAGATGTGCGTCACAAAAGCGGCTTGGGTGGTGTTACAGGGGCGAAGCCAGGCAGAGCGCAACTGCACAGTTTTCAAATTTGAATGCTGAAGTGCTACTAAAAAACAGACTATTGCGAAATACATGGTGTTGCACTGTGTAAACGTACATATCCCATTGACCCGACGAGATCGCATCTGCGTCAGCAAGCAACTTGGCCGTGCTGGCAGAAATACCATCTCTTCTACTTGCCTAAGGGGGTATATACATTAGACGGCCACTTGAGACGGACGTCGGTGATTTTTAAAGCCCAGAATCCGTTCTTGAAAGAGCGTCAAGAGAAACAGAAGTCTAGCGCGGATGGTGATACATAGTTTTTAGCGAATTTACGTTAGTACCAACGTCGGCAATCACACCATCAATGTTTGTTAGCTCCCTGATACTATGCTGCAGTGGTGGTGATTATGTTTTTTCGAGCCTTGAAGCTGTTGTCTTCGACGGGTATGCCTATGTGTATTCGTGTCAATTACGTACGTCGCTGGTACCGCCTTCTCTGGTGTCGTCGTGCCAGAAGGTTCCTCTCTGGGGCTGCCGTCTCCCGTGTCCGAGTATCAGGCGGATATGTCGCTGGAACTTTCGGCTCCGGCGCACGCGCCTCTGATTTCCCCTGTGCCAGGCGGGTACGTCGCTGGAGCTGCCGTCTATGACGCGTATGGATGTGGTGCCTCGTGTCGGGCGAATACGTCGCGACTGCCGTCTCTGACGCGTATGCGTCTGGTGCCTCGTGTCGGGCGGAAACGTCACTATGACTGTCGGCTCGAGCACACGCCTTTAGTGGCTTTGTGTCAAGCGTGTGCGTTGCTGAGCCGTAGGCTCGGGGCTTGTAGGTCACAGTTGCGTGTGTCGCTGGAGCTGTTGGCTCGGGCATGTAGGTCCGAAATGCTGACGTTGCAGGAGAATGAGTGGATTGGATCGGAGCTTCGTTGGGAGCATCGTGACCGACGTCTTTGACCAAGCCTCTATGTAGGTGACGTTTTAGACAAAAATGCCTTTAGTGTACAGTAATTCGATCCTGGTGAACGAAGGACGATATAATACAATAGTGTTATGGCTGTTGCATTTGTATTAGATTACTCCTTGATATGTCATTGGTCGGCGCATCGGTGTATCTCATCTTCCACCCGATAACTTTTATGCAGACGCTACACAATATGTTTAGTTTAGCGTCGTGCTCGATATCACGGGCCGTTTCTGAGCCGCTATAAAACGTAGCTCGCCTCAACGCAAAATATAGTAATGGCTTGTCCAGCTTGCACTAAGTACCCGTTTGTACTGTCGCTTTAAGCAAAGATTGATCGCTTCTAATACCAAACTCAATAAAAGCTAAAATTATTAAAATTGTTACTTTTTATTGCATTTAGGTGCGTTCATTCTGTGCTGATTCAGAATTAGTTACTCAACACTTAAATCTGTGCCAGTTATGATTAACCCTTTTGTTATCAAAAGCATAAATGCAATATCTTTTTAGCTCGACCATATTAGAATCAAGATAGTTTACCGTAATATTTGGAGCAGGATAGTGATAGCTCTCAATAAAGAGATTGTATCAAGATCATTAGAATAACTATTTTAAGCATAAAAGTATGATGTTGGGGCTCTGTCTTTTGTAAAAAATCATTGCACGGCTTACTAAATACTGCTTGCCGTTAAAATGGTTTTGTGCTTGATAGTATAAATGTTACAAATTAATGAAGTTGCAGAAGGCAATTTCGGTCAGCTTTTTTGAAATAATTATCCTTTCGGAGCGAAGTGGTGGTGGGAAGGCCTAAACAAGTAGAATTAAACCTAAACTACCGCCGCGTAGCGGCAGCGCTCAGCTAGTTTTTAACGATTATAACTGTCAAATATTTTTTAGACAACACAATTTTCTGGGCATTTTTTCGAAACATCTTTAGGTTTATTATCTTTAACATTTTTTGACAAAGTGCAGGTTTATGCAATCATACTTTAGTGACATCACAAATATGGACAAATTTTGTCAAATCGCACGTTTAATGTGATCAAATCTAAAAAAAAATCATCAGCTTGGTTTAGTCTTTATTTAGGCGAAAATTGTTTTAGAAATATTAA